GAGGAATCTTCTGTTTATTTGTCTATGCAAAAAGATGCTCTGAAAGGATGCACAAGCACTGAACAGGGTGGCTGTCTTTGTTGGGGGTGCGGGGCAATGGGAAGGACTTGTCATCCATCCAAAGGACCTGCCTTTTGAGCCATGTAAGTATACTACATACCTCAAGAACTTAAATAAGAATGCCATTAAATGTGACTTGGAAGACAAGAGCTGAAATTTATATTTCATGAATAATTTTAGTGTGCAAATTATTTATAAAAAAGTGGAGTCAGGCTTTCTCATATGGTTCATGATATAAGTAGTATTATCTTTCCATGCTCATTTCTTTGGAAATGTGTGCTATCCAGGGAACCTGTGTCATGTTCACTCATCTTCCCTTTTTAAAATCCAAGACTCCTTCAACCCATCCAGGCCACCTAGTCTTAGCCCAGCTCAGAATGGATGAGAAGCTAGCATCACAGTGCACCTGGAGACAGTACCACACTGTCAGGTGAATCCTTCCTTGGAGAAAGCAGTTTTCTGTGTGGACTCAGCTAGGCTTCCTTGGAGATACACGTAAGCTCCTCTGAGTTTGATCCTGACTCTCAGCCAGTGCTCGGCAGGCTCAACGCCCAGGCTTTCAACTGTGACAAGTTAAACCTTCACCATGTGTTTGCTGAGTGATCTTTAACAAGTTGTTGAACATCTCTTAACCTCAGTTTCCTTATCTAAAAAAGAATATAACATTACCTGCCTAATATCAATATAAAAAGATTGTAAAAGGGATTCACGTAAAATAGTTATAAAAGTACCCTCTGTGGAGTAAAGTTCAATACATGCTATATTAATTTACATGGCATAGTGGTTTGCTGCCCACGTGTGCCTTTTGATAAACTTGGAGCTTTTGCTGCGTGAGTCCTTATACCCTCTGTGCCCATTTGAGTGCCTGGCAGAAATAGGTGTTGTTTAAATAACTGCTAAATTTGTGTCTAGGTGATGCCTGTAAAATACCCAAGTGATGGCTGGGAAAGACTTAATTAGGATATAACCTTTCATAATAGCATTCCCCTTTCTACAAGTATCCATGAAACCCAGAAATCTGCAGGGAAGGTTGCGACCCTCCAGATGCCTGCACAGCACAAGAGGCTGCCTGTCAAGCTTGGCACAGAGGCCCATTCTATAAACCCCATGAAATATATTCACTTGAGAGACCTCAGGGTCGTTCACCTCTGATATTTCACTAACAAGGAAACTGAGACCAGAGTGACTATCAGAATTCCTGATTTCTGACTGTTCACCTACCAGTCTTCACTCCAGATGCCCACTGGTCACATCTGGGATGAGAGGAAATTTCAGAAGTTAGCCCTTCTTTAGGAAAACTAGGGAGAGCAGAAGAAAGCTTTACTGGAAGAAGTCTAGGCTTATTAAAGTACCTTTCTAAATCATAATCTAACGAGAGGGTTTCAGGCTAAATAAAGGACGCTCCAAATACTCCTTTTCACTGGAGAATATAATTTTGCTTCAGCCACAATTTAAATTGATTTAGTTCTGAGCACCAACACTTGAAGTGTGGAACATACTCTTACTTTTACCATGATACTTGTTTTGACAGTGATGCATTTCAGTTGACATAGTTGAAATACTTGTGCAATAAATCTCTGCCTGAAAATTAATCATGTTTATAATATTCTGAGAATTAATAACACCCATTGCTCAAATCATTAACTTAAAAAAGGAGCTTCCAAAATCTGTTCTCAGCAGTAAGGGACCACAAATAAATGAATGTTTGATAAAATAATCCAAGTAGCAGTTTAACAAGCGTAAACTAGAATATGGCTGCAACAACACAGAACTATTGTTTAAGGGTTGGCAGAGGCTGATGAGGTTCTTATTTCAGTTATGAAGCAGGCATCCACATGCATAATGAACTGCTCTCTGAATTATTAATGTGTTGCTTATTTAGCCTCATCTGTCTAGAAGATAATGTATCCTAACTCTAATGAGTGATTGGTTTTGGGCATAATTACAGTAGCAGCAGTAGTGGGGAAATGTGTGCCTTCAAAGAAGGAGTTCTAAAAATAAAGTCATCACATAAACTCTGTTGTTGTTGCATTCTATCAAAATCAAACCCGAAGCATTTGAGAATTCATAATAAATTACAGGAGGCAGAATCATTATTAACATCATAATTTAACACAAAAGGTTTTACTTAATCATTCATTACAGATCATGTGCTGTTAAAATGCATATAAATGACTTGAATTGTTTTAAGATGTTAGTGAAGACGTTTCCTTTTGGTCATTTACCTACTGTGATTCACAAGGTTCAGGAAAAGAGGGAGGACTGATAGCAAAGGATAATTTATGCCACTTCTGTGAGAAGGTAAATTAAAAGTTTTCAAAAGGCTACTGCTTTTTTATTTCTAATACTCATATGTCTGGGCATTTCTCAGACCTTGTTTAAACCGTCAGGTGGCTGTTTGTGGAGGTGACTGGATCAAAAGCCCATTCACCTGTTCTAACCAGGTCTAAGTAGTCTGTGAGACACCTGTTTCTGACGTGGAACAATTCTGAGTTCTGAGCCTGAACGTTTTCTGCTTTCCCCTTACAGCACATTACTAAAGGGACTTATAGACACTAGTTCTGAGTGCACTGTCAGTATCATAGTGGTTTCATCTGTGTGTTTCCTTTTTCTCTTGTCTTCAAAGGGGCTGTCAACTGTCCGATCATAAACCTGACAGCATCATAGCCCATTCACACCTGTTCAGGAGGCTTCAGTTTGGTTGTGAACTGTGCTGTGTGTACATCTGTATGTGCTTCACAAGAGCCTGTCATGTGAGTACACTCTCACGGGAGCATATACACACAAGCACAGCCACACCAGTGTCAGGACATCCTCTTGTCTCTGAAACCAAGCACTCTGAGTTTATCTCCACAGAAACCATGCAGAGCTTTAATGCAGTGATTGTAGAAACATTTGAAGTTCTGAAAATCATAATGCATCTCTCTTGGATGTGGGCAGTTCCTGAAAGTGTTTAATTCCCTTGATCACAGGAGAATTCCTGTATCTGGCCTGTGGCTAGCAATGAAATCTATAGGCAAGGTGGAAAAATGGGAGAATGCTTTTAATTCTAAGTACAACTTCTGCTTATGGCTTTCTGAAGCTGCACACTTAAATGCAGCAAATTGTCTTTGGAAGGCTTGTGTTGGCTTGTGTTTGGAAGACAAGCTAACATGTCTTCTAGCTTCCTTTTAGAAATAAAGTTTCTGGCATGAAGTTAGACTTGCCAGTCCGAAGGTCTTGAGTTTTAATGCTGTCTTTCCTCCATCGCTGAACCTTGCGTCCTGCAGGTCTCTTTGATGAAATGGAGGCTACAGATGGGGTTGAACATGGGAGATTTTTAGGAAGATTCTGGAGTCTAAATAAAGGAAAACTATTTGTCCTCTCTGGTCCAATTGTACCTGTCTTCCTGTCTGTCTGTCTGTCTGTCTGTCTGTCTGTTGGTCTGTCTCTTTCTCTCTCTCTCTCTGATACTGGGGTTTATATTCAGGAGCCTTCTACCACTGATCTACACCCCAGCTCATTCTTATTTTTTATTTTGACAGGGTCTCACTAAGTTGGTGAATGTCTAGCCTGGCTCACACTTGCAATCTTTCTGCCTCAACCTCCCAGAATGAAGAGAACACTGGCTTGCTTATCTTCTTAGTAAGCAGAGACTGAAGGTTTCCCATGAGCAAGCTAGATTGAAGAGGAGGAGAAGGAAAAAGAGAAAGAGAAGAAGCAGGAGACTGCTTTAGCACCCACAACGTGAGGCACCCTCTCTAGGGTGACTGGTGAGGAGGCTCAGCAGACAGTCAGGAGACACTGCTCTGAAAAAGTATCCCTGGGATACCTGTGTGGGGTCCTGCGAACTACTGGAATTCCTTTTTATCTGTTCAATATATTAGGATTTCAAATGGAGCTTCATTTACAAAAAGGACACGAAGTCCACTATTGATAAGGCAGAAGCATCCTTTTGGCAGCTATTAGGGCAACTGTGGCTAAAGAGCCCTAGTCTACTTTTATACCTAGGGCCATCAAGTCCTTTTGACCATCATTCTTTTTCTCCTTGACCAACTTAGCTTGTTCCATCAAGAACTGACTCTTCTCATAGAGAACTACCCGTTGTTACCCAAGTGCTGAACTTGGTTAAAACTCAGTAGCTGTGGGTCTGGTCTCAGCTACCTTTATGATGGGGCCAGTGTTGAAAAGGGAAGAGGCCGATCATGAGGGCTTTTGTTCCCCAAGCTGAGAAGTTGGGATTTTCCTGAAAGTCATTAAAAAATCCTAAGTAGGATAGCAATATGCTTAGATTTGCTTTTCCCCTGCTGCCTTGATTGGAGAGTGTATCTGGACTATGAGGAGAAATGAGAGGCAGGGAGTCTTAACAAGTAGCTGTTGTAACTCTAGTATGAGACAGTGAAAGCAGGAGGACAGTATCTTTATGGTGGGACAGGAGGGCTCTGAGCCGAGGCATTTCAGCAGCTGGAATCAACAAGTCGGTGCAGGGTGCATGTGGAGCTAGGGGTGTCTCGGCCAGTCTCCAGCTGATCCACCAAGAGGAAGCACAGAGGCAGGAGTGGTGGCAGTGCAATTCTGAGTAGTCTGGCCCTCAGGACTGTAAGCAGAGAAATTCTGTAGAATATTGGGTCTAGGAGTCCAAAGCTCAAAAGAGAAGTTGGGTGTAAGTATGGAGTTTGTCTGAAAGAGCTGGTCACTGAAGCAGCAGATATCCAGGGAAACAAGCAGAGGACTGAGAGGTTCCCCCAAACAGAAGCTGTAATTCCCAGGCCCACAGTTGCTTCTTTTTTCTAGATGCCCTCTCCCCTTGCAGCTGACCAAGACATTCACATCCCAAACCCATCTCAGAGCAGTGCTATGCCTGGCTTGTTCTTTTTTCTCTAACTCCAGGAGCCTTCCATGCAGACAGAGCTCTGAGTGTCACCGAACATGAGAACATTCACACATTATCTGCTGCTTACCGGCACTGGCAGGATGCTGTGGCACTTGGCTTTTGTTTTTTTCTTTGGGACAAAGCGGGGCACTTCAAGGGTGCTCAATCCACAATCCAGATGGCCATTTGTCAAGTAGAGGGTGAGCTGAGTCAGAGCCAGCTGGTCACTATATGAGAGGTTGAGGCCCGTTGCCCATACCTGATTAAAATGAGGCAGACAAGTGAGGGTGACATCAGGAAACGAGAACCCTAGCAGACTAAAATCATACTGCAGGCCAACCAGACCAGTGACCATGGCACCTAATGGAATAGGTCTTTTCACTACATTGTTCAGCCGAGGGCCGGGGGCTGATTCTAATCAGAAGATTCGAGGTTATATGAGAAATTAAGAGAAATGAAAATACTGAGCCAGTACATTCTAACAGAGATGACTAATCCTGAAAAGCTCATGTTGACTTTGAGTTTTCTGCTAATGGGTTGCCGTTTCATAGGTAGTACAGTGTTTTTCTACTGAGGAAATGAGACATGATAGAAGCTTCAGAGGATGGGGACAAAGGAGAAGAAAGGGGTAAAGAGTGACAATACGAGATGGGAAGAGTGAGAAATATGAGAAAAGGGTAGTTTGTTTTGATTTTGGAAAAGCAGTGTTGGTCTTTCTGGTATGAAACTTAAGGAAAAGTGATAGTTTTCCTGCCCATAAGGAATACAAAAGTGATAGTGATTCCTGCCCATAAGGTGCAGGAATATCAGTTTACCACCACAAAAACAAAGTCATTGTTACTCTCGACTGGTAATGGATAATAACATTATCTTAGCGGTATCACAGGATTATTAGAATACTATAATGCAATGAAAGCACTTTGAAAAATAGACCTGTTATAAATTGCTCTCAACTACTAGATAACTTGGGTAATGTCCATTAATTCCATTCAAAGGATTTATTCTCCTAAACTGGCCAACGATAAGCATAGGTCATCTGCTACTTCTTTCTTTTCCTAAGACAGATCAACTTTAAATTTTCACCCTCACATGGAATGCACAGGCATCTCTAGAATCATCCTCATTTCAGTACTGAAGGTGTGTATAACACTGTGCTGACCACTGGAGAGTCCAAGGGAACAGGCAAGAGTCCTGCCATGAAGAAGACGAAGACAGAAACATATACAATTAATGATGTACAGTATAATATTTAATTAATAATGGAATGGGACAAAGTACTACTGAATCAGAAAAAAAAGACAGGCTGTGTTTGCCCAGTGAAGCTGCCTTCCAGAGGTGACAGCTGAGTTTTAAACGAGCAACAAAACCATGACTGGCCCTCATGCATCAAGTACCTACAGTGTACAGCTGCTTCACAAACATCTTAGATCTTTTTAACAACCTAAAAAAAAATACTTCATGGTACAGATAAAGAAACAAGTCCTGGAGATTGCCCAAGTCCACATAGGAAGTGGTGGCACTGGGATTTGATTCCAGGTCTGGTTGGCTCCAAGTTCGCCCTCCTTACCATCCTGTGCAGGAGGAGACGGCATGGATTGTGTACCAATTCTCTAGGCAAATTAAAAGCTAAAGTTGAAGAGGATCAGACTGTCTTCTTGTCCCATAGAATCCATGCCATAGAAATGTCTTGTGGAGCAAACATGAAGTATTATATTTCTGGAGTAGGCTGTAATTAGCAGTAATGCATTTTCACTGTAGGAAGTTGGAAGCTAACACATTTTCATAAAGACTTGATTAAATATTTTTCTCCTCTTAGAAGGCCTAGTGCCCCGCTTGCCAACTCTGTGTGTCAAAACACATAATATGTCTGCCTTAGAGTGGACTCCTCTCAGACAAATCTAGCAGTGAGTGACTTGAGTGAGCATTGAATGTAAATGGCATCATTATAAGGATATTAAGGGGTCAAGCTGTCAAGGCCCCTTGCTAAACTGAAGCTAATTTCAGGAGCATATTCACACAGTAATGCCCTTTTATAATAGCAAAAAAATCACATTTACAACAATTGTTAAAAACTCACTGCCAAGGATCTGTTGCAGTTGTAAATATACTATTTGTCAACTTAAATTTTTCCTTCTCTATAGAGCCAAATGTAAATCAGATGGGGACAGCCACTGTTCTTCCTAGGAGAAAGTGAGCTTGCTATTCTTGCATGGCAAGCATCTTTCCCCTTGAGTTTTTTTTTCTTTCTTTCCTTTTTGTTTTTTCCTCCGTACCAGGGTTCAGACTCACAACCTCATGCTTGCCAGGCAGACACTTACACCACTGAGCTAAATCCCTGGCATACCTTGCCTTGAGTTTCTGTTTTGATGTCTTAGTGTTCTTGATCAAAGGGAAATATATAACAAGCATTATTAATGTGTGTGTTGATAATATTAATGTTTTGTGGTAAGGTTTTAATGTGAAGGCAGCATAGAGTAGGGGAAAGACTTAAGAACCAAGGACTCAGCCTTTATCTTTTTAAGGCCTCACAGCTGTTTAAACTTAACCGAGCTCCTCAGGTTCTCTCTGTCTCAGTATTCTCAAGTGTCAGAAGAACTAATGGCTATACCTACTACGTGGATATTCTGGGGGAATAAAACAACAAAAGTATATAAATTGTAAGTTATAACATTAATACAAATGTTTATGGTTATTAAAAATTCCCTTTAAAAGGAATAGATTCTTAAGAGGTGTATTTTTTTTTGGTTATCTACATAGCTAGTAGATCGTCCTATTATATAAATGTTTTGCCAAGCTGTAACTCCTGGGTTCAACCTCAAATTCAGTCTAGTGGGTGGTTGGGTTTGGGCAAGGTCACTGTTACTCTAGCTTCACTTTACTGATGAGGATACTGAGATCAAAAAGCAATTGCAAGCTTCGATTGAGATCACAGAGCACAGACCAGAGCTCAAGATTTTCTAGAGATGAAGTACTTTTGTCTCCCCAGGCTGCCCCAGCTCCTTGGCTCACAAAGGGAATGGTAGAACAAATTTCCTTAAGCCTTTTTCTCAACAGCAGGCTTGCCTGGTTTGCTTGGATAATTGTTCTCTCCTCCATCTGGTTTTTCCACCCAAGGCACACTTGTTTTGTGTCTAGGGGTTCTGATCTCCCTTCTAGACTGTCAGCCATTTAGGGGTTGCTGTGGAGTCTCTGTCTTTCCGCAGCACCTGGTGTTTGTGGTAGGGCTGGCAAAGTGGCCGTTCACAATTTCGGGGCTGCACTGTGAACTCCCCACAGCTTTGAGAAGCAGGGTGTGCGTGCATGCGTGCGTGCGTGCGTGTGTGCCTGTGTGTTCTCCAGAGGAGGCTGCAGTCAGATTTAAATGAAGCAAATACTCACTGAGCTCCTCCTCTGTGCCAGCTCCAAGCTTTTATTCACTTCTCATTTTATCTTGTTTTTGGTTTTAGACTTTAATGTTCATTTTAGGAACTCATCTCTCTGATACCCCCATCACAATTTAGATAAGCGACGGCGGTAGTGTCAAGGGCACGATGAGCAGTGACTGAGGCAAGTGGATGGCTTTTTAAATATGTAGGCAGCGGCTTTGGCATGGCTTGCTTATGGTGACTTATAATGGCCAGAGTGATGGGTTAACTGACTAGATGTAAGGATGAGGGAAAAACATTACTGAAGATAGAGCTGGAAGACTGTTACAAACACCTACTGCAGTCAGTTTATTTTATAAATGGAGCAGCTCTGGCGTGGAAAGTGAAGTGGTTTGTCCTAGGTACAGAGCCAGGTTCAGAGGTGCATGGCAAACCCTAAGGTGTCTTGACTGTCATTCAGAAATGACTTGTCAAAAAAGAAATCACTTGTTGATTATTGTGTGACTGATAATACAGAGGCACTTGTTAAAAATGGCTAAAGGGCTAGAGAGACTTACATCCAAGTCTTAAGAGCATTAAACAACACAAAAATAACAAAATACTCATTCAACACAAAAATACTCATTCAGCACTATCTGTAATATTAAAAACTACAGCAGCCCATTTTTGGGCATTGGTTAAGAAGCTTATGACACACCAGAGTGATGGGGTAGTTTGGGATGTTACCATGAGAGATGATGTGGTTGTCAATAACTTGATTTAAGAAGCACAAAACAAGAGGAAAAAACCCATGACTTTAGCAGTGCAAAAACAATATACATAGAAGGCTAGATGAGAATATAACAAAATGTTAGCCACAAGCGGAAGCTTAGAAGACTGATAACTGCAGTTACAGACACCTTCGTGCATCTTCTAGATCCACACTATCTAACATGACAGCCATGAGCCACGCGTGGCCACTGAGCCCTTGAAAAGTGGCTGAGCCAAGTGAAGATGTGCTTTTGATGTAGAACATACCAGATTTCCAGGATGGAGGATGTGAAAAACAATGTAAAATATCTCATCAATAACCTTTCATTCTGAAAAAAGGAAGTGATAACACATTGGTTATGTTGGGTTGAGTAAAAATACTATTTTCATCTACCTTCTGTTAACTTTGAAAAATGAAGCTACTAGAAAATTTAAAGTCATTCATGTGACTTGACTTCTATTCCCATTGGACTGGTTGCAAAGAAACCCATGGCAACTTGAGCAGAAGGGTAGGACCAGGGTGGTAGATAGGGGTGAGGTGCTGCCCATGTCCTGCTCTCCTGTGGCCTCCTACGAGCAGTGCTCATTAGACTTGCATTCAGAGACCTGGTAGACAGGAGAGGGCCAGGCCAGAATGGTTCTGTTCCCAGGTTCTTTGGGAGGACAAGATAGTAACATGGACTAGGGTGGGGGAGGGTGGGAGAAGCCCTAGAATGGAGCCCCCTTTGCCTTAGGTGTTCAGGCAGATGGAGGCCACCTGGTCACCCCTGCTACTTCTGCCTCTTTCCAGTGACAGGCAGGATGCATGGGTAGCACAGCATGAAGACGTGGGCAGATGTGCTTGGGACTTACATTTTGAGATGGTCTCCAAGTGCAAGTAAAGTTCTGTGGCAAAGGATTTGGTCTTGTCTTTCATCAGTGTCTTAAGGAGATCCATGTAGGTATGCCCCTGAGGGGCTGATTTATAAATCAGTGATACTCAATGAAGACTCAGACTTTCAGAACTGTTAAAGTTCATAGATGTTTTGCAGACTAATTTCAATTTCTTTTCTCTTTTTGTAAGGTAAGCATTCGAGTTGACAGAACAAGTGACTTACGAAAGGGCTGAGGCATGTATTTGTGATCCACAGCAAGTGACCTCCCT